TTTCCCTTTTCTTTGTTGAAGAGGGTCTGTGCAATCCTTCTGCCTAGTCTGCCATCTTGCCCCGCCTCTTCTGTCATTTTCTTTAAGAAAGCATACTAGTACTCTGCTATTTCAATATACCTAATCTATTTCCAGGGACTGCTTCTCAGGTAATACAGTACACATTTGTATACACTCCCTCTCATGACATAGAAAGAATTTAAGACTTCCATAAAGAAGCCAGAAGAATTTTCATTGCATACAACTTTCATCTCAATTCATTAAGCAGTATCTTCTAAGGTTTAAAAAGGCTCTGAACAGATAATTTGTTACTCCCTCCATATTATCTAGTCTTCAGGACTATTTAGCATCAACTACTATTACTCTATTTACTAAGATAGAATGTATTTTAACCAAACAAACTGCCATCGAGTCAACTGCGACACACAGACACCCTATGAGACAGAAAACTACTTCATAGGATTTCCGTAAATCTTTACGGAAGCAGAGCAACTGGTGGGTTTGAACCAATGACCTTGTGGTTAGCAGCCAAATGCTTTAACCACTAACCCACCTGAGTCCCACTATGGTATTAAATAGTAGATTAAAATAGAGAAAACAAAAGAGATTTAAGATGTGTAAACAGCATTATCTTTAAGGAAACTTCTCGGATGTATTTCTGAAAAAATATTAATACATGAATATAAATAAAAGCCACATCAAAGAGACTAGGGCAAAGTTGAAAAAGCCTATTATGTACCAAGAACATAAGAGATGCTCAATAAACGAAACTTCACATCCTGAGAAGTAGTTATGGGGCATCACAAACAAGATGGATAGGATCCTATTGTCTTGGGGATTCCAGTCCAAAGAACAAAAGCCTTTTCTCATTTCATCAATTAAATGAAATAATTTATATTTATAAACGTATACCTTCTTCATTTGTGATTAGATTCAAAGTATAAAGCTGATACATCTGATAAGTAAAATGAAGTGGTGAGATGCACAAAGGAAAATTTCACTTTAGGAAAAAAAAAAGTTACTTGCTCCCTAAGGGCAAATGAATTCACTTTGGCCAATGTGTGCTGTGTAAGGTGCTAGGGTGGTAAAAGGAAAAGGACAAAAGGGGGAAAAAAAACCAACAAAAAACCAACTTTCCAAGGCAGAATCTCAAGGAACTCAAAATTTGTTATTAAAAAAAAAAAAAAACAACCAAATCCATGACCATTGAGTCAGACTCATAGCAACCCTGCAGAACAGAGTAGGACTGCCCCATAGGGTTTCCAAGGCTATAATCTTTATGGAAACAGACTGCCACATCTTTCTCCTGCAGAACAGCTGGTGGATTCAAGCCAAGCACTTAACCACTACGCCACAAGGGCTTCCTCATAGTCTGTTAAGAAAAAGAAATAAACAAACACTATATAGTGAAGAAATGGAATAAACACATTGAAGTAGCTCAAAAGAAAGTAATGAAATTTTTTAGGGGTAAAGATCAGAGAAAGTTTCACCACAAAAGATTTCTGAATTAAGTTAGACATTAAAGTAGAAGGTTGATCAGCAGATCCAGTGGGACTAGAGAGCAAAGAGAGCATTTGAGGTACCTATGGCATGCCATGGGCAATCTACTTCCACAAAGATTTATTGCTTCGGAAACCCAAAGGGGGTCATTGTGAGTGGGAATCAATTGATGGCAGAGTTTGTTCTTGCCTTTTTTTTTTTTTTTAAATAGCATACACACATTCTATAATGTATACAGTGGCAGAAAAAAATGAGAGATTTGTCAAGAGTAAAGTGCAAGTGAGGAATCAGCAGGAGATGAGGCTAGATGGATAAGAAGAAACCAAACTGCAGAGCCCTACTTATGCTGTGGTACACTGTCCAAACTTCTGCCTCTAGCAAGAAAAACTTACTTAAGTACTTTAACCAAGGAAGTTGTATAATAAGATTAAATTAGGTTTATAAGAGTAATCCATGGAGCAAGAGTATAAACAGTACTACCTATGAGCTTGTTAGAAATACAGAGTCTCAGGCCCAACCCTGACCTACTAAAAATCAGAAGTTGTATCTTAACATGTCCAAGTGATTCATGTGCAACTGAAGTTTGAGAAGCACTGGCTTAGAAAACAAAATATCTCAAGGAAGACAAAGCAGTCAACTGTATGAACAGGTGGAGAACAGGAAGCAAAACAGACAAGTTGGAGGTCACTGGTGGACTTGAAACTGCTCAGTTTCAATGGAACGATTTGAGGAGAAAATGAGAGTTGTAATAATTACCAAGTATAATCAATTCTTAGAATTTTGCTATGAAAGGAAGCAGAGCAATGGTGCAATACTGGAGAGAGATGTGGGTCATGGGAAGACTGCGCTTTCAAGATGGGAGATAGCAAGGCAAGTTTCTATGTCAAAATTTTTCATGCCAATGAAGAAAATATAAAAGAAAATGATGGACTATGGTAACCATGGGGGTTGTTGTTGGGAGAGGAAGGTTTGGAAGCAGCAGTGAGAAAAAAAGAAGACATTTCAGCCAAACCACTTTCAGGTCTAGAAAAATGTGAGGTTGTTGGTAAAAAGGATTATAGGAAAAGCAGTGTTGTTAAATCAAACAACTTTACAATATTAGTTAGAGCAAGGAGGTGAAAACACAGAAAAATCTGTGTTTTCACTGTTCCTTTTTACCCCTCACGGTACCTGGAAGATGCAGAGTACTATATACTTTTCAATGTAAATTATCAGTTCATATTCACTTGCCATCAACAGGTTATAACACTACATGGTACTAGACCAAGATTTCAGTTATTTTGCTCTGATTACAACCACCAGTGGCAGTAAGTTGGAGTAAAACTAAAAATCATGCATTAAATCACAAAAGAAAAGGACAAAATTTTACAGAATAAAGTTAATGGAAACTTTAAATTCCAGTTAGCAATTCTACTTTTCTTGAGCAATTTAACCACACGTTAGGGCCTTAAATCTTATAATTGTGGTTCCTTCCACTTTCACCTTATATTACCTGGCTCCTGTAAGAGATGAAAAGGCTTTACATTTGATTTCATGTGTCATAACACAACACCATATCTGTAGGGCTTTTACCTTTTCATACATTAATTTCTACTCTCTAATTTTCTTTTTTGTGGGGGGGAAGGTATGTAATCAGAATAGGCATATAGCAGATTCTGACTGATAATATCTAAGGATGTTGTGGTATAGTAAATTAGTGTGGCTTTTCTACCCATAAGTCTTTGTAAACTCCAAGGTGGAATTTTCTATGAGCAACTGAGGAGCTCCTGATTGCTGAAGGTGTCCACCTGGAGTATTTCTGTTGGGAGTGGCACAAAACAATGTTCTGGGAGGTGCCCACTCTCTCTCAGGTGCTTAGAGTTCTGATGCTATAATTGGCTAGTTTGACCACCCTGCCGGGCTCAAAAGGAGACCTCCTGGAGGCAGAAATCTCTGACTGCTGGTTGAGGAAGACGTGCTGCCGAAAGAGACATGCGCTACTGGAAGAGACACGTGCTGCTGGGAAAGAGACTGTTGGCTGAGGGACGGTGGGCTGGGAGAGAGACTGAGCATTTTCCCTGAACTTGAATTGTAGCCTGTGGTGCTTCCCTAATAAACCCCATAAACTGTGAGCTCTGTGTGGCCACTGCAGCGAATTATGGAACCCAGGAGAGAGGTGGTAGGTGCTTTGGGAGGAACGGTTGGTGAAAGGGCTGGAGGGAGGCAGCATGTCTGGCCTTGCAGTAATAGGCCTTGGGTTACTGCTGGTAATCCTGTCTTCCTCTTGTGGGATTAGAGGAGGTCAGAACATGTGGCCTCCTTGATGTTTTTGCATATGTCTATATGATTGATTATATTTAGGGATGCCTATATGCCTACGAAGGAGCTCTGGTAGTGTAGAGCCTAAGGTACTTAACTGCTAACCAGAAGGCTGGCAGTTCAAACCCACCAGCCACTCCTCAGAAGGAAGGTTGGGCAATCTACTTCCATAGTGATACCGCCTCGAAAACCCAAGGAGGGGTCACTATAAGTCGGGTGTGACTCCACGGCACATAACAACAACAACAACATATGCCAATGAAGAAAGCAGAGACAAATGGTCCACAATATAAAGCATTTGTCATGCAACAAGATCTTTAGAAGAATAATGACTTAGAGTTTCTAAAAATATTTTGAAATTATTTCAGCTATTCTTAAAGAGACAACTTCATATGAGAAACAAAAGAAATAAAGTCCTTTGTCTAGCAAAAAGAACATGCCAAAACAAAGAAAAATAAACCCCACAATTTACCTCGATAGTAGGCCTTTGTTATTGCATCAAATTCTTCTTGACCTGCTGTATCCCATAACATAAGTCTGACATCTTCATCATTAACTCTGAAACAAGAGATGAATTTATTTCATAGGTAAAGAAAGATGTTTTCAGCAATATAACTTCTTTCAAATGCTGAGACTTTACACACGAATTAGATTTACCGGTCTTTTTTTTTTTTTTTTTTTGACAACAGTCACTGATATTGGTGGTCCTAAGTCTAGCAGTGTTGGAAAAGGGGAATTCTCTTATGCCACAGTTCACTCTTCTCTCCTTACACTATTCTAATGAGTTCTGATGTCCTAGTGATAGAAGAAGAAGAAGGGAGTGAAGGATGACCTTAACCGCTTGGTTTCCCTGTCTTAAGAATTAAAATACAAATTCAGTTTCAAGCAATAAATATAAAAAATAAGCATCATCAGCATTTAAAATATGCTGTAAGGAGGAAGCAAATACAGAGGAGTTTTTTTTAAAGGAGGGTACAGAACACAAATTAGACATTTAACAGTCTTTAAAACCAATGAACACTCATCTTCTAATATTAATGTCTGAGCAAGTAGGTCAGATTTATTTAACATTTCTTATTTTTGTAACACATTTTAGTTTATCCCCTATAATTTAAAATATCCTTAAAAGTTCTTAGGACTGACGGCAAAAAGTGCTACCTTCATATATTTTAGAATCCAATTGGATTTCCTGAAGTAAGACTTCCTTTTCATAAGAGTATTAATCCTTCTCAAATCTGTGTTCTCCAATTTCTTTACATTAAGTAAAAACAAATTATTAATTCTCTTCTATATGGTCTTGCCTAGTTTGAAAGAAAGAGAGAGAATTAAAGAGAGAGAGAGAGACATTCTAAACAAAAGCATCCCTTAATACAGAAGATAAAAACTTTGCCTTGAGACACAGATAACTTTACTTCCAGATGGAATAGGGGATGGAAATCTCATTAGAGTCAAGCATTAGTCTGTGTTTAAGAAGTGTTCAAGATGCTACTAACAAATATAAAACAGATGTAATACAGGGGGAAAAAATGGGGGAAATGGAAAGTAGAAGAAAAATAGAAATGAGAGTAGAAAAAAGACAAAAGAAAAAACAGGAAGAAGGATAAAGATACACATAGAAAAGAGCAACTGAAAACCATCACCAACTATCTCATGAATCACTGCCACTAACTGCCCAGCCTTAGACTATATACTGTAATAGTACCATTTCAGTGAAAGTTCTGAACATAGTTCACAAATCAAAACCAAGGGGATAAAATAGCCAAGTACATACTGGATTTGTCGCTCCAAAAAATCAACTCCAATGGTTTTCTTGTAGTCTTTTGTAAAAATGCCTTTGCAATATCTCTGGATCATACTTGATTTTCCAACTGCTCCATTCCCTACAACCACCATCTTGATGGCCACTTCCATATCTTCCTCTAACATTTTTGGAGATGAAAAGGAGTTTCTGTACCAGTTCTAATTTCGGGTGATTAGATCTTCTCTCTCAAATCTGTGAGTTAAGATAAAATTATTTTTTCATGACATGAAAGTTATACAAAATAAAATAAACTATAATTATTTTATCAATAGATAATCATACTGAATTGTAAAAATTTTTTTCCACAATGGAGGCCACCCTCTAGCACTTTTACATAATATATGTTCTTTGAAAGGAGGTACAAGAACACCATTCATTTTGGAATCCTTACCATTAGCACAGTGTCTGACCTCCATGGATCAATAAGCACCTAAATCTCTATAGTTCTTCCTTTCATAAAGATGTAGATTGTGGACGCTGGAGTTGAGGCCTCATTTAAAGCTGCTACTGACTAGTTCTGTATTTTTAAGTCAAGTTATTACTTAACCTCATTAAGCTTAAATTTCCTGGGGTAATACCTACCCCACAGGATTGTTGATCAAAGACACTTAGAAAGTACATAGCATAATGAGTTAAGAACGCAAAAAAAAAAGGTAGTTTATAAAAAATTTTTATTGTGATTTTGGTGAAAGTTTACAGAGAAAATTCACTTTCAATAAACAGTTCATACACATTTTGTCTCATGACATTGACTGCAATTTCCCACAATATAACACCTCTTTTCCCATTTCCTCCCTATAGTTACCTCTTTCCTCCCATACACTCCTGCCTCCCCCCAAGCTGTCTCCCTGTGCTTACAGAGCCCTTCTATTCTTCCATGATTCATGTCTCTAAGGAGTGTATCTACCTAATGTAGATGCTCAGCTCATATGCCTGTGTTTTATTTGGCTGGAAGCCATAGGTGTGGGTTCAATCCCAGACCTGAAGGGCAGTTAGGGGCCATAGTCTCAGGGGTTTTACCAGGCTCAACCAGACCATCAAACCTGGTCTTTTTTTTTTTTTTAAATTTTATTTTTGTGATTTTGAGTAAAAATGGTAGTTTTATACAACATGATCAATTCCCATAGTATACCAACCAAATGAGCAACAAATTTAAAAATCTGAGGAAATTGCTTTTCATTCTCACAGGTAATAATTAATGTCCCTAGAAAAGCACCTCCAGAGTAAGAGTTTATATAATAATGCATAAATACCATACAAACTTTCTTTCATTTCGGACTATAGTGACTTATATAATGAAAGTAGTAGAATATGTATTATTTGCATTTTAGACTGAAGAGAATAGAAACTCAATTTCATTCATTTCTTCTTAAACGTTCTAGTTACAACAGGTGGTGGCCATTTTGGACTTTAAAGTGACAGCATTCTCATTAGGATTCCAGGGACCTAAGAATAGGCTCTGTTTGCCAAGGACAGCAGGCACATACAGGAGGCTGACAACAGGAAAGGAGACAGGTGGTGAGTGTATAACTGCTGTCAACTAGTGAACAGAGGAGCACAGCACAGTACCCTACTTACACAGATTACATACAAAGAAAACAAAAATTGTGGGCAAGTCACTCCAACATAAAATCACCAATTAAATATAAACACAAAAACATCACAATGCCTCAGAGACAACAGAGCATCACAGTTGCAGTGTAGTAAATTACTTAGTATGACTTTTCTACCCATACGTCATTGTAAACTCAGTGGTGGAATGAGCAACTAAGGAGCTCCTGACTGTAAATGTTATCCACCTGAGTTATTTCTGTTGGGTGTGGCACAACGCAATGTTATGGGAGGCTCACTCTCAAGTGCTTAGAGTTCTGATGCTATGATTGGCTAGTTTGACCACCCTGCCGGGCTCAAAAGGAGGCCTCCTAGAGGCAGAACTCTCTCTGACTGCTGGTTGAGGAAGACATGCTGC